TATATCAGACATGTTTATTAATTTCCATAAAAGTTATGTGGTGGGATTGAATATTGACGATGGTTTTGTGGAACTAACAACAAACTTTCTTCATTGTCGTAGGGGTCACCTGCCTGTGAAATATTTGGGGCTTCCCCTTTGAGCGAATCCTAGATTGCGGGCTACCTGACAGCCTGTGTTGGATAGTATACGACGTCGGCTTTCATCTTGGAAGTACATGTATGTTTCAATTGGTAGTCGTGTCACTCTTATTAACTCGGTGCTAAATTATATTCCTATTCATTTCCTCTCTTTTTTCAAAATCCCTAACTCTGTGGTGAAGGATATTATCACTATTCAGAGGAATTTTTTGTGGAATGGGGTTAAGGATCTGTCTAAGATCCCTTGGGTCCGGTGGGAGTTTGTGTGTCGGCCGAAGGGAGCGAGTGGACTTGAAATTAAGGATGTGAAGTTGTTTAATTATGCTTTACTTGACAAATGGATCTGGCGTTGCTTATCATATCTGGGGGTTCTTTGGGCGCAGGTTCTTCAGGTGCGATATGGTTTGACCCCATCGTTATTGAGTGAGTGTTTGGCGGATCGGCGTGCTTCTAGTTGGTGGCCGGATCTTGTGTATACTTTACAGTTAGGAGGGCAATGAGTTGGTGAAAAGATATTACATACTGTGGGGGATGATACTTCGACGAGATTTTGGGAGGATAGGTGGCTGGGTGGCTTTAGGTTAAAGGAGGTCTTTTCCAGATTATATTCCTTTACTTTCAATCTCTATTCGGTTGTAGCGCAGAATGGTCATTGGTCTAGAGAGAATTGAGTTTAAGACATTCCTTGACGCCGTCTTCCCTTCTCATTTGAGTTGCCATTGGTAGCGAGTTTGATGGAAATTCTGGATGGATTTATGTTGCGTACTCACCTGGAGGATCACTGGTGTTGGTTGGTTGATGTTTCAAGGTTATATTCTGTTAAGTCTGCTTATGGTTGATTGTTGACTCTTTTGGTTAATATTTCGTTTCTTGATGTTACTCTTCAGGAGGTGTTGTGCAGACTTTGGAAAGGTAAAGTACCTATCAAATGCTTGATGTTTTCTTGGCAGCTTTTCTTGAATTTTGTTCCCTACAGGTTGCTTCTGCAGGAGCGTGGTGTGCAGTTGGATTCTGCTTTGTATCCTATGTGCGGTTTATTTGTAGAAGATCTGGTGCATCTTTTTGTTTTTTGTCCGGTGACATATCGTACGTGGATGAATGTTTTTTGCTGGCTTGGTGTTAATTTTGTTATGTCTTCTTCTTTTGTGTCATTTTTTCTTGTTTGGTGTGCCCAAAGGAGGAGTAATAAGTGATTCCAGTACTTTGTTATTATATGGGTTGCGGTTATATGATTCATTTGGTTGTACCGGAACTATATGGTATTTAATCAATGCGTTGTGGATCGGTTGGAGTTGCTTGACTCTATTCGTTTGCATTATTGGAAGTGGATATCTTCAGCTGGTATGAGAATATCTTTTAGCCTTGTAGACTGACATAATAATCCTTAAATCTATTTTATTTAGTGTGTTTCTTATGTATTTCATGTTTTTTTAATGACGTTTTTCTGTTTTGTATTATACTCTATTTTTTTTTTCTGAATATCCCTTGTACTCAGCTTAATTAATTTTATTTGCTTATTAAAGAAAAAACATATTTATTTGCTTCAATGGAAAATTTATTGATTTAACATTTTTTTTAAAGGAGAGAAAATAGGAACAAAAAATGTAGCTACCATCCATGTGAAGTGCCCTTCTTTCAGGTAGCTTCCATAGAAACTCTATTTTTACGTTATTTTGTTTATTAAGAAAATTACATTTATTTTTAAGAATTTTAAATTTTAAATTTGAACCTATATTTTACCTTAAAATTGTATATGAAAAGTTGAGTGAGAACCGACTTTAATAACTGTCCCAATAATATATTTTGATTTAAGTATATTTATATTATAAAAGCGACCTATTTTTTTAATTTAATTTAACTTGAATTCATATTCATATTTATTTATATAAAAAAAAACAAATTACGTATCATGTAAAATAATTTTGATTTGATTTATATGTTTAAATTAAATTTTAATATAAATTTATATGATTTATATTACATTGAAGTATGTTCTTATTTGTTAATTTTTGTATACATAATAATATTTAAAATAACAAATTTTTAATGTATACTAATATACTTGGAAATTACTCAGTTTTCTTCCATGGTAATAATTTAATCTTAATATTTTGTTCTCTTTCCAATATTGATCGAGCTTTGTTTTTTATAGGTAATTAAATAAAATTAAAATAAAGAACGTATTTTTGTTTATAGTATATTTTTATATACTTTATAAAATAATTCATAATATAACTATATATGTCTAAAAAATGTAATTTATAAATCTTTTTAAAGCATTAAAAAAATATGAGAAACTACACTAGGACTTCAGAAAATTTTACACATACATTTCCTTAAATTTTATATCTAAAAAAAAAACATAAAGTCCATAATGTCATTACATTTACACCTTTTTATTCAGTAAAAAAAATTGATTTTTATAATAAAATCATTACATGTACACTTGCTTGTTAATATTTTTGTCTCTCTCATTATAATTAAATAAAACGACACAAATGTGTATTTGAATGTTGAAGAAAACCTCGCAAGCAATACATTTATAGATTAGTTAAAAATAATTATATATGAATAAAGTTTGGTATAAAAATACATTAAACATGTATTTTTAAGTATGAAAATGTATTAAATAGATATGTAAATGTCAGCACTGACGACTTTATGCTAATAAAAATATAATAAAATAGATTGTGTTAGCCTATTAAATAAGTAATTTTCAAAATTTATAAATTTCTAAAAAGAATTATATTAAAATAGATATTTTTGAAATTTTTAAATATTTATAAGGTAATGGTACTATGGTATATACATATATAATAGAATAAATTATAATAACACGATATTTTCTCAAACTTTAATCACACCTTTATATATTTTCACCATTGCAATTGTGTCAGTTGGTGAAAGGTAAAGTTAAACTCAAGGTGGTGCATGCACAATACCAAAAAAAGTTGTTACAATGTAATGTTTTTAAAATTAATGGAATTTTGGAGTTCAAATTTTGTAAAAATTGGAGTGTCAATGTAACTCAATAAAACTTTAGCGGTATTAATAGAACTTACTATAAATTATATTCAAATTATATAACATAATTTTGTTTTATTATATTTTTAATATATGAAGAGATTCATTAATTTAAAAAAAAATTGAAATTTAATTTTTATTCTCGCTTTTTTTAATTGCTTGAGGAAAAAAATTATGTTAATCACCAAATTAAAAAAATAATAAAATAAAAGATAAATCTTTAATATTTTTAAACAGGTTTATATATATAGTCGTTAATACATGTTTATTATGTACTTTAATTAAGTTCGATTCATCGTATTTTAAATTATTCAACAAAATTTGTAATTGAAATAAGTGAATATTTTTAAGAAAAATCAATTCAACTTGATATAATTAGTTTGAGTTAGTTTGAATACAACCCGCTAATAAAAAGAAAAAGATAATAATAATAATAATAATAATTCATTCTAAAATTAAAATTAATACAGTACTCAATGTTATTATCATGTGAAAAAAAATATAAAATTATTTTATGGAAAAAATAAGACTTTATTTTCATTTCATACTTGTTATATTTTTTCACAAGAAAAAAATTAATATAATTATCTTTTGACTCGATAAATCCTCACGTATAAAAATCAAATACAAACTTTAAAACATTTAAAAAAAATGGTAGATTAAAAACGTAATGTTTATTTTATCTTGTTTTTAGTAATCTTAATAAATTTATTATTTAATTAATAAAACAATATTTTATTAGAGTTAAAGATTATCCACCACACTGTCAAACAACAGATAGGTTTCCGTTTCATATTAGCGGGCAAGGCAATCTGACTTGTACTCTTCAAAAGAAAAGAAAGAAGTTATTTAATCTTTCATGCACACAATTTGTTTCTTATCTTTAAAATCATACTAACTTTATTTTTTATCCAATTTATAATTTTACCGAAATTTATTTTTAATTATGATTATCAATCAGAGGATTTTATATTACATTCATATATATATATATATATATATATATATATATATATATATATATATATGCTACGGGCGTTACAATGACATCAGCATCTTATAAACAGATAATAAAATCAAATATACTCATCTAAATAAAAGAATGGTTGAGTAAAAAATTGATAAAAACCAATATAAAAATTAAGATGATTACGAGTGTGTTTCAATAAGATTATGTAACTTGATGAATTAATCTGTGCTCACACGTTAAATGAATTACTTGTTTTAAAAATGTATGTTTAATTCTTATTATATTTAACTTGTGGAGTTAGCAATTACAAAATTGTAAGGGATATAGTATTTAATAAAGTGAGTTGGAAGAAAATGATTTTTATAATGCAGCGATTGGATTATTTTATTTTATTTAAAAATGTTTGCAAAAAAAATATCTAAGTAAAAAATGCATTATTATTTTTTAAAATAATTGATTGGGGACCATGGTGCATGGGAATATAAAAGGGTTGAAATTGGTTTAACCAAGTTGAGACGGATATGTGTAAAAAAGAATGAATTGTAAGAGGTTGAAGGGCCAGGGTGAAAATAAAAAAAGAAAATAGTGGGGCTCACGGGAAAAAGCAGTTTCCGGAATTAGTAAGTAATGACCGGAAAACCAGAGTAAGAAACACTGAAAACCGCCTCATCTGAATGTGTTGTGTCTCTCTCCAATCTTGTGTTATAACCATTAATATAACGTTCGTAGTAACTCACAACACCCTCTGTTCCCTCTCTTTTCCTCTCTAGTACTACTACTCACTCTTCTTCACTTCATCATGAACCAATAGCTATAGCTGCTACCTTTCACACACATAGAAGAAGAAAGTTTCGTTTTTATCTTATATGGCGTACCACAATCCTCAAGACCTTCCACTTCACCATTTCACTGACCAACAACAACACCATAACCAAACTCTCACGCACGCATCCCTCCTCTCCGACCCTACCTCCAAACCTCCCTCTGATCCTCACCAGCCTGCGCCAAATTGGCTCAACAACGCCCTTCTCCGCGCGCACTACACCGACACCACCACCACCACCAACAATAATAGCAACAACAACAACAACAACTCCGACACCAACGTTAGCGCTGCCAACAACGGCACCAACTTCCTCAACCTCCACACTGCCGCCTCGGACTCCGGCCAATGGCTCGCGCGCCCGATCCTCCACCGCAACCAGAGCGAGGTCATCGATGACGTCGCGGCGGCTGGCGACTCCTCCATGGCCGGAGCCGGATCCGGTGATTTGAAGAGCGAGGCGGCGGCAGTGGAGGGCGGCAGCGACGGGCTGATGAACTGGCAGAATGCGAGGTTCAAGGCGGAGATTCTAGCGCACCCAATGTATGAACAGCTTCTGTCGGCACACGTGGCGTGCCTTCGGATCGCCACGCCGGTCGACCAGTTGCCCAGGATCGACGCTCAGCTCGCACAGTCCCAAAATGTGGTCGCCAAGTACTCTGCTTTCGGACAAGCCATCGTTGGGGACGACAAGGAACTCGATCAGTTCTTGGTATTTTCTCACTTCCTCGCACAATTCCACTCTTCTTTTTCCCCTCTTCGGATTAATTATTGGTTATTAATTATTTTTGTTCATTATTCTTTTGTGATTATCCCTCCCTCTCTGTGGGTGTAATTGAGGACTTACACTTTTTCTGGTGCAAATCTTAATTTTAAATTTGCGCTTTGAATTTTGTTGTTCAAGACACGGGGAGAAGGTTTCTTGGTCAAGTAGGTGACGGATATTCTCGGTTATTGTTCGTAGACAGAAAGTGAAACAGACGTGGTTCCTTCCTTGCTTCGAGAATGAAATTATTTAAATTATGTCTGATCTAGAATGATAGTTATAGATTAAAACTAAATATACTGGAAACCATGCTTCAGATTTTACTTTTTGAGCTATTTTCATCCCCAATTTCACATTTGAAATATAACCCCTAGTTCAGATTATTTTGCATTCATGCCTTCTATTCCATACGCTTCTTCTGGATCTTGATTATATCTAGTGTTACGTTCTTTATTTTTCATGGTATGTGATTATTTCCAGCTTCATTTGCTATGATGCGGTTACTATTCACAGTTTTTGCTATTTTCTTAATTGATGCTGCAGTCGCACTATGTTCTGTTGCTCTGTTCTTTCAAAGAACAGCTCCAGCAGCATGTCCGGGTCCATGCAATGGAAGCAGTAATGGCTTGTTGGGAGATCGAGCAATCCTTACAAAGTTTAACAGGTACAACTATACTCTTCTTAGTGATTGCTACATCTCAACATAAAACAAAGGTTGGTTGCGTGATAAAATGGAATAACTTCATTCTAGTCCTCCTCAATTATGTTCCGGCTATCAATGAACCAACCTGTAATTTACTTACCTAAACACAATATTTTAGTCGTTTACGATAATTTTTTTGAAAGATGCCAATATGTAATTTTCATTTTTTTTATATATAAAAAAAAGCCTCTGTCTAAAATTTTTAGTCAAAACTGTAATGGGAAGAAATGCCAAATATTTTATAGGAAAATAGGAGTATCCTCTGCTGCTGCTGTATGTGTGCGATTATCTGTATACGGTCTCGGGTCTGAAACTTGGGACAGAGTCGTTTCTGTCAATTAATTCAGATTCAGGGTACTTAAGTACTCGAAATCAGGGTTTTTACCTGCCGTGAGTTGTAACCTCATTTTTTAATTTTCTTACAAGGTCAAACTATCAGTCAATATTGCAAGGCTCAGTATAACAATAAATGATATGCAAGTCCTTAATGATTGTTGGACTAAGAGGAACATGGCTACGGGGATTAAATTTTCCTTATCTTCTCACATACAAAGTCTCTGGGTTTGGGAAAGTTCAAATCTTGGATTAACTTTATTAAAATTGAAACTTAAATAGCCAAATAGCGAAGAATATACCAAACCCCCACTTGTTGTCTCAGATAGAATGATGACAATTTCTGTATTTGAAGAAAGTATTGAAGACTTTAAAGTGCATAGCCCAGTTGTCGATATTTTTGGCACGTTATGCCGAACCATCGTGCGCCTTGAATGTTACGTAGTCATGAGGCTTTTGGTTAGATTAGCTAACTTTTTGTGCACAAATAAACAGCAAAAGCACACGACTCTTTTTGCCATTGGAGGAGTACTAAAGTGATGGTTTTTTTCACATGGTGCATTATTGAACAGGAGTTTCACCCGGGGAAGGTACGGGAGCAACAATGTCTGATGACGAAGATGAGCAAGTAGACAGTGATGCCAATCTGTTTGATGGCGGTTTAGATGGTCCTGATAGCATGGGATTCGGTCCTCTTATTCCCACAGAGAACGAGAGGTCCCTTATGGAACGTGTAAGACATGAATTAAAGCACGAATTGAAACAGGTAAGGGATTAAATGCTAATAGCTTTTAAAAGTCTGCGTTCGAGTCCCATCGTTTTGAATCTCTTCCCACGTGATTGACCTTGTTTTTATTTTTATTTTTATTTATTATGTAGGGTTATAAAGAGAAAATTGTGGACATAAGAGAGGAAATTTTACGCAAGAGACGAGCTGGGAAACTTCCAGGTGACACGACCTCTGTCCTTAAAGCTTGGTGGCAATCACATTCCAAGTGGCCTTACCCTACAGTAAGAACTCAATATTTTTTTGACTTCACTGCCAGTATTTTGAAAAATCCATTCAAATAAATATGAACGAATTCAAGATTAGGAACAAGGATATATGTCCTTGTACACATTTATTATTGAATTCAAAGCACACGAATAGGGATGTTCTTACACTTTTTTTATCTTGGCACAATTGACCGTTGACCAAATGACAAGCATAGTAAGCTTAGTATATGCAGTTTAGATGTTCTAAGTTGAAGCCACTCCAGGAGATATTTCCAAGTGGCCCTTTCAAAATTAATATTAAATGCTTTCAAAATTCAATGACATGTTCTTTCAGGAGGAGGATAAGGCACGGTTGGTGCAGGAAACGGGTTTGCAGTTAAAGCAGATCAATAATTGGTTTATCAATCAAAGGAAGAGGAACTGGCATAGCAATCCCTCAACTTCCACTGTCTTGAAGAGCAAGCGCAAAAGGTATTCATGTTAAAAGGTGTCATTTCATTCGTTTGAAATTTGCACGAGCTTTGTTTGAAAACCAATGTTAATTTTAAATAAGTAATGCAGGTGATAGTAGTGGTGATTATTTCATGTAAATGGAGGAAAACTCGAGAACCAATCCGCGACTGTACTCTGTTAGTTCGTCTCTGCGCTCAATCATGGTGCATGGCAAGGGATTTAAGTAAATTCAAAGTTAAAAAAGTTCACTTTTTGCTTCTGCTCAAGGAACAGGACCAACACAGATGGGGAGTATTGAAAGCCTGCAGCGTACGGTGATGCATCAAAACTAGGAAGTTCAATTAGGAATTATATATACCAATATTAAAATGGGTAACTCCATGGAGCATGATTTTTAGTCTCATATATTAATGCTTGTGAAATATATATATATATATATATATATATACACATATATATAGAATAGTGAGGGGTTGTGGGTGTATAGTAATAATCTGAGCAATTTTTTTCTTCAATCATGCTAGTTTTGTTGTTGTTATTCCTAAAATGGGTATTTTACATGGAGCTTGGATTTTTTTCTTCTTGAAATATTTTGCCAATACATAGTAAAGAAAAACATTGAAAGGAAAAAACATGTGAATGTATTTGAAGCAAAATTATTGTAGGAATTATGAGGAAGAATATAGAGTTGAATCTGTTGTAAAGGAAATTTGGTGAGTTGGCATTGCATTAGGTTGTCGCTCCATGATGAAGTGATTGTAAAGTCATAATCATGACATGGAATAACTGGGTGAAATTAGGAGGGTGAAACAGAGTTCATAAATTCTTAAGAATGTCTCTGGTTGGAGGGTAAATGTTGGTAGGGTGGGTTAATGACAGTGTCTATAGACGTATTTATAGTTGGAAAAAGTTGGGGTGGAACAGACAGACTAACAGAGAAAACGGATATATATATCTTTTGTTTCTTTTCTTTCGAAATAAATGGCTCTTGCAGGCAGTGCACATATGCAATTGTAAGTGGTCCCGTCACTGATCTTTTCTTTGTGGTCTGTATTTCGAGAGTGTAGCCAAATATCATATGCGGGTCAGACAAATTAAATGAATTTCATGACATGGTTTTATTTCACAAGTTGGCTTTCCAAATCTTTTCCTTATTTATTTTACTCGCATCTTTTCTACTTCCACTTTTACCAAACTCAAAATATCCTAAATGAGCAATTTTCAATTTTTCATATTTTAATAAGCACATAATTTAGTTAAAAACAATGCAAAGAGGATAAAGTAAAAAAGATAAGATGTTTGGATAAAATATTCTCTCAATTCGCAACCTTTTTTTCATTCTTACTTTGAGATGGACCACTTTTATGGGTACAATTCATAATGGATCAATATAGAATATTGTATATTTAAAAATCAAGCACCTAATACATGAAAAAGAGGCCACATTAATTAGTTGATCATCAGAATTAGAAGAGGGAGAGCAAAAATTTGGTAACTAAATTACAATGAATGAATCGAGAATGTTTAGGGTTTACGTCTCATTGTATTCACATCCCAAAATATTTATTGTTCGTCCTTGATGGAAAAGTCGATTAATCAAGAAAATCACCGAGACGGTTCCTCTATTCCATCATCAAAATTAAACGCATAACTCTTGGGATCATACTCGAACTGCATTCTCCTTTCCTTCTTCTTCGCTCCACCCCTGCACATTCTCATCCTCTTTGAAAACGCCGTCACCACCTTCTTCAACATCTTCCCCAGCACCTTCCCATGAATTTTTAATGTTTCTTTCTCTTCCCGGCACAACTCATCGTATCGATGTGGGTGGTGTAGTTCAAGGAAACAGCCATAACAAGTGATGTCCATGTCTTCCTGATCGCAATCCAATCGTCGTGAATGTCAATCTCTCTCTCTATATATATATATGTGTGCGCTGCGCAGTACGAGCCGAAGAGGAAAGAGACTGGCGGTTATATATAGGTGAAAGCTTCTTATTTTTTTATTCATTTGATTGGATTGGTTAAGATTTTGATAAATAATCTTATAAATATTATATTTTAAAAAACTCAAACAGTTTATTTATTTAAATAGATTTATTTATTATTTATATTTTTTTCTCTATTTTATTTTACTTATTTTGTTTTTTCTCTTTTCTTTTTTACTTTTTTTAATTAAATTTAATGAGAATATTTGTAAGTAAAATTTAAAATTAACATTAAAATTAATAAAATATAAATTAATTATTTAAAATTAAATAACGGTAAATAATTTTATTTATTATAATAATAAATATTGTTTCAAATAAAACCTATAAATAATACATTTAGAAAATTACTTAAATAAAATAGTTTTTTTTATCAATTTATTTATTTAAATATATTGATTTATTATAATAAAATAAGTTAAATCTAGAGGACGGATCAACCCACCATAAAGTTTGGTGGATGGATTGATAATTTTAACTCAACTTATTTATTCATTTAAAAAAATATATTTATATATTAAAATAAAAATATTAAAAATTATAATTAAAAATAAATAATTAAATATATTATAATATTATAATTTTAATATATAAATATTATAAATTTTCAATTTATTTAATAAAAATATTAATTAATAAATAAAAAATTTAAAATTAGTCATGTAATTAAAAATATAATTAAAAAATTACATATAAAAATATTATATATAAATTGCAAATTGACATACTGTGTAGGTCTATCTCACCTCATTCTTAACATTGAGATGACCAAATCCTCATCCTAATTCATATTAAGTTTTTCTTTTCTCTTTATAAATTTTTTTTTCTTCCTTATTAACTTCTTAATTATTATTATTTTTTTCTCTTTTGATTTTTCTCTTTCTCATCCACTTATTCTTCTTCTAAGTAAAATTGCTATATTAAAATATAATAAAAATATAATACCTCAAATATTATTGTTATAATTCAACTATCTTTTCTAAAAATATATGATTTTATTTATAATATCGTTTATTTTTTCGTGGTTGTAAACATTCATTTGATAACAATTAAGTAACAAGATTCTGAATACATTTTATAATAAATATAAAAAACAGTTTTAAAACAGAAACAAAACAATTACTTTTAAAAAAAATAAGTGTTATAAAATTTACAAAATCCTTTTGCTTTATTTTTTATTTTTAAACTTAGTACTCTAAAAATAGTAATTAACAATCACCATTTTTAAGATCGAGTAACAATAATAACAACCACAGTACTTAAAGGAAATCAATACAAGGAAAACAAAAATGATAATTGGCTGAGATAAAGTATTGGGCTATGTCTACTACATTTTTTATTACTTACACAAACCTCAATTTCTATTTACACTTCCCTTCCCTTTCTTTCCTTTTCATTACCCAGTATACCGTTTTACCCAAAAAAGTATAACCCTAAAACGCTATTCTTTATCTCCATTCTACTCGTTCTTTCAATCCTTCAAACCAATTCTTTGTTTTCTCACTATTCAAGTTGATAAAATTTTAGTTCAATAAATGTATAATAAAAATATTAATTGTCTGTTAATTTGTTCAAATATTCATTTATATTTTAGATAAAGATAAAGTTGTAAATACCAGTGTTACTAACCTAATTGATAAGAGTATACAAGTTGTGTGACATATCTTGCATGCTGAAAAGGTACAGTTAGAGATGTATATTTATAAGAACACAATGAATTAAATTTAAAGATTTAAATTTTATTTATAAGATGACAACCAGTTTTAAGTTTAAAGCAGATAATTAAGAAGAGTAAATACTAATACATAAACAAAGATTATATATGTTTGTTCATATTAAGTCTTGTGCCCATATACATTCTTAGGAAGACACGCATCAAAGAAGAAAGATGAGGGTTTAAGGAGTTTTGTCTGACAGGGTTCCCATCCATGCGGGTGGCAGCATACCCGTTTGCTCATGCACCGTCTTCAACAAAGGAGGCAACATCTTATAGACACCAGCAACATCCTTCATGCCACCACTAACATCGTTTCCTTCGCCACCATTACTCCAAATACTAATCTTTGGCTGAAGTCCACGAATTGCATCTGCGTTAGTCTTGGCAATCTGTTGAAACATGCCGCTATTTATCATCAAGTAGTCCCTTAGATTCATGTAGTTGCCTCCCAGTGCATCAAGAAGTGTCCTTAAGTATACTCCCTGGGCTTGCCCTAGTGCCATAAGCCCTTCTGCCTCCTTTTTCTTTGCAAATAGCTCTGCTTCTGCTGCTTGTTGCTGACTGAAAAATGCTGCCTCCGCCAATGCTTTTTGTGCTTCTGCCTCCTTCTCCTTCTCAAACAATATTGCTTCTGCTGCTTTTTGTTTCTTGTACAGATCCCAGTTTGCCTCTTGTACCTAGCAAACAATAACATTCTTTTTCACACACTTTCTTATCTTAATAACACTAGTTTTAAGTTTTTCACAAAAAATAAATATCAATATAATAATAATAATAATAATAATAATAATAATAATACAGATTAATGATTCCACGGAAATAAATTCAATTTACATTAGATTAAAACTGTAATAATTTAAGGAGAGAGAAGGAGTATCTTATTTTCATACCAATATATGATGCTGGTAGATAATTTGAATTACTAATTAACCCAGGGTTAAGTGTGAGTGAATGAATGATATTATTCTTCATTGAGAATTGAAATATAGTATGTAAAGTAGAGCATGAATACTGAAGAAGAAAAAACCTAACCTTGGTTTCATACTCAACACTAGCTTTGCTGAGGAACTCAGCTTTAAGCTTCTCTGTCCTTGTGAGAGCATTCATCCTCTCAACCTCTCTCTGCAACTCAGCCTCCCTCAGTGCCACTGCTTTTGTGGCCTCCACTTCCGCCACCTGCGCGGCCTGGGCCCACACGGCCTTTTTCTTGGCAAGCTCAGAATTAGCCTCCGCCACCTCAGCCTCTCGCTCATTCTCAAAAACCTTCACCTCCGTCTTTACCTTTATCTCCTCCTTCTGACGCTCTCCTTGCCTCTGCGTCGATATTATTTTTGTCTCGGCATCGATCCTCGCAGCGTTCTGCAGCGTTTGCCCCTCTCTCATCTTCGCTCCCACCTCTCCCTTCATCTTTGCCTCTGCCACGTCAACCTTCGCTTGGTTCGCAGCCTCCATCTGAGTCTTCTGACCCAAATAAGAGAAATACTCGTGACCAGGAACGTCCACAAGTTGCTTCACGTTGGCGTTGTAGATCAGAAGCCCGAACTGGTTAAGCTCCAGCTGAACCTTCTCGAACACTTCCTGTTTAAACGACTTGGTGCCTCTGAAGATTTCCTCCATGGTCATGGCTGCCGCAAGGACACGTGTCTCTCCCTCGATAATGCCCTGGACTAACTCCTTGACGTGGTGAGAGAGCTTGTCGTGCGAAGAGAGAAGTTTGGCGTATTTCAGAAGGCTTTCCTCGTCGTCGACTCTGGGACCGATGGTGAACACTGCGGGGAGAATGAAAGGGAGCTTCTCTGCGCTCATGGCTTGAACCTCGAAGGTGTAGTTCACCGGAGAGAGGTCGAAGACGGTGCATGACTGGCCCGGGAGAATCCATGCTTTCTTTGCAAGCTTTATGTCTGGGATTCCAACCCCAGTGATCACAAGGTATTCTGATGCGTTTGCGACCTTGTACATGTTTATGCTTCTGCCACACTGTGTTTAGACTTATGATAAAAACTAAGGATCATAGATCCATCAGCAGGATTTATATATCCCAAATATTTGGTTCAGAACCCAAACATCAACATGCAGCTGGTTATATTAATATAATATTAAAATTTATTATTATATTAAATATATATATAGAGAGAGAGAGTTATGCTAAACATAATTCAGTCAGAATAATTTGAATAGAGTAAAAATGAAATCAAATATCTTTTGTTTACAATATTTTATTATGATTAATTAAATACAAAAATATATAATATTTATTTTAAAATAATAAAAATAATTTGATATTTAATTTAAATTAAAAGATAATATAGGATATTTTACCAATAAAGCACAAATAGGGATGAATAAGAGATGGATTTCATATAATTAATTTATGGAAAATACTTAGCACCTTAGTAAGCTATTAAAATTCGATATATTGTTGGGAAATTAGCTTGGAAGAAGAGTGGAAAGTGACACAAATGTGATGAAAAAAAATCCTAAAGAATAATATATATATATATATATATATATATAATGGTATTTTTTAAGGGACTAATAATAAAAATTATCTATCTGTAATACCAAATTAATTATATAAAAGAATATAATATTATATTCAACCTAAAACTTTAAGATTTTCCATCTTTATCTTAAATTAGACTTCTGGTCACACTTTTGGTTTGATAGTTTTTATTTTTGTGATGGGTTTATAATAATAAGTAATAATCCTTGGATCTATAATATCTAATGCATTTTAATTCTTCTTATATTTAGTATAGAAAAAGATTGTTGGTATTTTATTTTTATTTCTTGAAAAATATAAAAAATAATTAAGATAAATCAAAACAAATGCGTATAAAATAATATTGGTAGTTTAGTAAAATATTAATCGGAAGTTGCTGAGCATTTCGTTGCTAAATTTTGTCAAAATATATATTAATAGGGTAGCTTACAAAAAATGGTATATACATGTTTGGAATGTGAATCAGTCAATTACTTGAGATACACACGAAGAACACGGAAGCGAATAAATGGATATAGCTATATAGGCTTTATTATCATAAATATAATATTAATTATCTGATAATATATTTCTTCTTAAATTTATTAATATTAATTGAAGTTGACAAATATGTGGACGGAGATCCCTTTGCTCATGGCACAGGTTTAGGGCTTAATTTCCAA